TTGATGGTCATTAAAATTTTATTTTTTATGATATTTTAATTGATTTTAAACCATATTTACAAAGCTATAGATACATAAGTTATTGTAAAATAAATTATGTTCATAATACATCTAGTTTAATTGTACAATAAAACTAAGATCTTGAGACTCCTTTGCTATATTTTATGTATTGATAATCACATATTTTTTATTTATTTTCAAGTTATATTACTTGTATTTTTTAGCCATTTTAGTATCAATAATAATCTTAATCAAAGATATAAAATCAAACTAACAACAATAAAAATATTATTTTTAAAAAAGAAGCTTTTCACAACAAAATATTTTCAATTCAGCTAAAAAATTTCCCGTTAGGAACGAGGCACTGCAGGGGAGGCATATGTCAGAATGTGGAATCAGAAAATGATCCCTACAAACCCCACAGACCCTTATAAGGGACCATTCAGTTCCTTTCCTTTTCTGTGATATTTCAGTTCCCAAGGTGGGACCCCCTTAAGGCAACCAATTAGCTACCGGACAAGGAACGGAATATTCTGTGGCCGACCACCGGCGGCAGCCGCCACAATTTTCAACAATGTCCCATTAGTGCTCTGTACCGCTGTCACAACTGGGGAGGCTAACTTAAAATACACTCAAACTAGGAAAAGAAGGAAATAATTTTACTACAAGCAATTGATGAATGGACCGCATCTACCAGAAACAAAAAGAAAATAGATGAGATTTCATCGCCCTTTCTTTAATGCAAGAAGATGATGGATTTCTTTGAGGTTTGTGCATTTCAAGTGGCCATGTACTCCTCCTGCATCAATGATAACTCTCCAAACACTATAATTTTAATGATCTCCTCCTCTTCCTCTTCTTTTTTTTTAAAAAAAATCTGTAACATTCATCATGGAGGAAGATCCCATCTGAAATATTTCAATATAATGTTTAATGTTTATCACTAGAAATATTCAAATATTAGTAATTAGTTATATCACCACCCAACAAAAAAGAAAAAAAAAAAGCAGAGATCTCAATTATTAGTGTGCGTTTTATAAATAATCATATGCTCTACAATTTAGTTTTTGAAATAAATCCGAATATAAATCATTTGTCTAAGTCCAGAGATCTCGATCAAGGAATATTGTGGATCGATGTTTAAAAAACCATATCTAGTAGAAGATATAGAGTCCATAAAGTGCACCGCCCTTGCCCCTTTTCATGGTCGAAGACGCTGCTAACTTGGCGCTGCTCGAGAGTCTGTTCTCGTGAACAGCATGGGATACATTCCATCATTGCATAACTAGCTATCTAATCCGTTCTTTTCTTTTGTTGATGGTTATAATTTTTTTAAAAAGTATTAGGTCTGGAGATTATTTTTACGTATTTTTTATTTTAAAAAAATTAAAATATAAATTAAAAATTTATGCAATTATATAATTAAAAAATTCATTTATAATACTTACAAAATAAATAAAAAAGCTAAGAAAAGAATATAAATCAAGATATTTAATAAAATAAAATAAAATATTCATCCGATTATATTCATTAAACTTATTTATTTAAATAAATTTACACCATAAAAAAATTATGATTTTAAAAATAAATATAAATAAAACTGATTAAATAAACTTATACTTAAAAAAAATATTATGTAAGGTAAAACACTAAATAAACTTATACTTAAAAAAAATATTACGCAAGGTAAAACACATAAAAAATATTTTTTTTAAAAAAAATTAAAGTTTAGGTTAATTAACCGGTGATGTTATATCACTCACATAAAAAATATTTTTAAAAAAAAAATTAAAGTTTAGCTTAATTAACCGGTGATGTTATATCACTCACTCTTATTAACTTTTTTATTTAAAATTAAAAAATAAATTAATGTGAAAGTATAAAATAACACTGAAACTTATTTTTTGTTTTTCAATTGTACTTCAATTATACATGAATAGAGAAAAAAAATAAAAAATGCCCTTGTCCACCATTCTAATAATTTTTTGATTTCAAAAATAAAAAAATATTTTTACCATTTAAAAGTTTATAAAAAAATAAAAAAACAAAAAAACTCTCAAGTTTTGTTGGTTATAGAGATAAAAACATATTTTTAATTTTAAAAAAAATAATAATCTAGACACTCTCAAATATTCTTTCAATAGCAAATAAATAAGTGAGAAAAAAAAAAAACCCACCCCAGGACTTTTTTCTTCTCCGCTGAAGAACACGTAGATAAATTACGTCTTTGTTACAATGAAGAACACGCAATCCTGTAATTTTCTTAACATATCTCTCACTAATTGGGCCATGAGAGGGGATTAGTTGTGGTCTAATTAGTAGGGGTGGCGTAGGTTAACAGTGATTTTTTAATTTTTTAATTTATTATTTTCAAATGTTTATTAGTTAGCCCATGATGGTTTTGAATATATCCGATTTAAGTGTTATAATGTTGTTTTTGTAGTAGTCATAATTAGCCGAAGAGCTTCACAATAAATAAATGGCCACTAAAGTCTAGGCTGACAGTGCTGTTTGAGGGTCATGATAGGGACATGAGATTTTATGTGCCTTTGATGGTGACCTTCTCGCGAGCCATTTAACAAATGATAATGACTGTATAATTATGGATTATATTATAGAGGGAATATTGTTGATACCGATCTATATTCATTCAAGCAGCTTAGATATGGCATCCTCCCATTATATTTACTAGTTTAATTATATCAATTAATTTGTAGCCCAATTGCCTGAAATAAATAAATAAATAAATAAAGTAATTACAAATATCGGTACACATAAATTTTAATAAAATCTACGTGTGTTAATTATAAAATTCTGTTAGGTATAATGAAATCCAAAAATATTATGATTGGAATCATTGGCATTTAATTTGTTTAATGTAATAATTAACAACGATTGCTTAAAAAATATCTAGCCAGTATAAAGTATAATCAACATGAAAATAAAAATTATTATACATTATAATGTTCCGTAATGAATAACGATTCATTTTTTTCTATGCTTTCATTTTTATTGATTAAATATTAAATAAGTGTTTTAAAAAATAATGGGAGAATTGTTCATTTATGAATATTGAAGTTGAATTAGCAAAATATTAACTCGGCCAGAACATGAAAGATAATAATAAGAAAAAAAAAGTGGTTGCTTGTTGTTTTACAAGATGTTTCGCCCTATTAATTTTCAAAAAAGAAAGAAAAAAACTCTCTACAAGTTCTATGCTTTCTTTTCTTTTAATTGAAGTTAAAACAATGCAAAATTTGAATTTAAAATATACTATTTTCTCACATGTATCACTCGTAAACTTGTTTATTTTTCATTTCTCAATTTTTTTTTGCTTCTATTAGCTTTATCCTCCTTCAACGTATTATAGTATTCTATAGAAATTAGAAGGTTATTTTTTGTTAAATACATAGCAACATTTCTTAATATATATATATATATAGAGAGAGAGAGAGAGATAGACTTCTTGGCTTTTTACTTAGTAGCTTGTTCAGTTTTCATTTCTTATCTCTTAATTTTTTTTATTTAGCTTTATATTCCTTAAGAGGTATTATATACTAATAGATTCTATAAAAATTAGATAGTTTTATGGTTAAATACCTGACTACAAGCTTCTATATTCCTTTTATTATAATGTTTATAAAAAAGTTTATAAATGACAAATTTAAGAGTTTTCCTATATTAACAAGAATAATATTGATAATAATAATGATATCAACTGTGATACTGATACAAAGCTGAAGTTTCTAAAACTTAAAAAAAACAAATTTACTATTTGTTTTATGTCAAACATTACACAAAATAGTTAGTAATGTAATAATAAAAACAAAATATATAGGTGGGTTAACTCATCAAGTTTTTATTAAAATAAAATCTACATAAAAAGATATTTGTCATTCACTAGTTATTAGGATTATTCAAAAAATATTTTGGTCATAATATAATATTTAAATTAAATTTTAAATTGATGGATGTTATTAAAGAGAGTTGTGATGCCTCGTTAAAAAAAAACTCATAAAACAATAAAAAAAATAAAACTTTTACATCTACACATATCATAATAATTTTATACAAACAAAATTTTTCTTGATAAAAATTAAAAATAAAAATTACTTTACATTTTACAAATAAAAAATATTTTATCAAAATAAAATCTCAAAACAAAATCCAAAACCAATAAATACCAATCACCATAATTAAATACATTATTTAACCATCATTTTTATACTCCAATCAATCTTCATTGAGAGAACAACACGAAATATTGTACATATCGCGAGATATTAAATGGACTCGAGGAGAAAATCAACAACCGGGACAGGCTATAACCGGTAAAAACAATTAAAGAAAGGTTTGAGCAACTAAGATGGAGCTTATACTTATTCAAATTCTTAATTCAGACCCTTAATTTTTTTTTTTCTCAACGCAGCCTCTTGTACAGCTGCATGTTGTGTTTTACCAGGTAAGAGAAACATGACAAAACTTACTTAATCACAACTTATTTTTTCTCCACCTTCCATAGGATATGACTTTGTTTTATCAATTTTAGTTCAATTAAATTTTTTATCTAATTCATTTCATTTTGTTAAATAAGTTATTTTATCTGAATCAATGACAAACAAAAAAGTTGTTTATATTAGCAAGCTTGTGTGTTTGATATCATAATACATGTAAAATAATTTGTTTTAAATTTTTTTCAATTGATATATTAAAAATCATAAAAAATATTTAATTTAATATTTTTTTCATGTGAAACGCTTCCAAAAAAATATAAACTACTTCACTCCTAAACATTTATCAGTTATTAATTGCATAACATGGAAGAAAATAGCATACGAGAACCACTTGGTAAAAACAAAAGTACATAGCCTAGAATAAATAAAAAATTAAGAATTAATGGGTAGGTAAAGAGTCCCATGATGATGAACCATCAAAGCAAGATCCAAATGGGACCGGTGACCGGGAAACAAGAAGACAAAGATGCTAAAACAGTCTTAAATGCTTAGAGATCTCAGTGTTTCCCTTCAATCTTGGAATATTATCGAGACTCCATTGTTGCTGTCCAAAATATATAGTATATATAAACATATATACACACACAAAGAGAGAAAAAAAGAGAGACAAAACTGAAAGCCAACCTTGTTAGTTTGTTATCTCCTATATATATAAACATAAAAACACTCTCTTTCACCGACCACTACACGCTTAACACTTTGTGTTTTCATATATTTGTTTCTCCCCTAGAACATAAAATCTTTATTTTTTGCCCGTCTTAGACAAACATTTTCAAGTTGCAAGCCTTTTCTGTTGGTGGGGGTTTTAGCAGTTGGTGCTTTTGCGTGACCGAGTTGAGAGCTGGTTGACTCAGGGTTAAATAGTTAATGGGGTATCTGTGAAGTTTGAATTGGTTAGTGAAATCTTTGGTGCTGAAAGGAAACATGGGTTTGGTGTTAAAAGAGAAACTGAAAAGTCTCTGTTGCAGTAACGGATGGTCTTATGGTGTTTTTTGGTGCTTTGATCAGAGAAATTCCATGTAAGTTTCTTTCTTTTTCTGTGGTTTGCACCTTTTATTCACTTTTTTTCCCTTAAAGAAAAATGTTTGCATGATTTTTCCTTATGTTGTTTTTCTACAAAGTATTGATCTTTTCTTTAAGTTGTTTTTTTGGGTTTTAAGTTTCATGAGCAGGAATTGTTGATTCTCCATACCTGAATTCAACATAATTATTTTTCAAGAGATATAAATCTTTTTTTTTCTTCTCTCTTCATTTTTCTGGTAAAATTTGTAGACTTGAAGCAGCAGAGGGGAAAAAAAGCTCACTTTATTGGTGCAGCATTTTTGCATGATATGCTGTTTTATAATAAGGAAATCCTCTCGAGATGGACTAGATTTAGTAAAGTTTTCACCTTCACTATCTTGCCTGTTTTTGGAAGTAGCTGATGGGTTGAATCTTGGCATAGATTTTAGCTTTATATGGTAATGATATTTTGCTTACTGTAAAAAATCTGTTGTTTTGAGATGTGACCAGGTTGCTGACCATGGAAGATGCGTACTATGAAGAGGAAATGGGAGTTGTAGTTACCAATATGCTTTCAGATGCCCATATGCTAGGTGAAGGGTAAGCTTTATGTGATATTCTGTTTCAGATATACAGTGATTTTTCCTCAATTGTTCTTTGTAAATTTCCAGAAGACAACCTTTCGACCATTTTTTCAATGATTTCTATTCCAAGCTTTAAAAGAAACTTTAATAGGGTTAATGTTGTTGTCATGGTCTAATTCAGAATTGTTGGCCAAGCTGCTTCCACTGGAAAGCACCAGTGGATTTTCTCAGATGCTAGTGATGGAGGCTGGAATTCTGCTGCCTCTATTGGAGGTCAAGATCTATTCCAGGTACTTCTTCCTTTGCTTCTTCTTTACCATTCACTCCTGTGCTAGTTGTCATTGAAAATATTTTTCTTTTTTTTAAAAAAAAATTGCCCAAAATTCTTGAATGTTAGCTGTCTAGTTTCTGCTTGCCTGAAAATTTCCTTTTCTTGCAGGATGATTCTGAAATTCATCGCCAATTTTCTTTTGGAATAAAGGTACTGCATGTTGGAATGCAAAACTTTACTTTTATAACTCATTTTCTTTTTATGATATTCCTCTTGAAATTCATCCGAGCTTTGTGTATCCCTTTTCTTCATCCAACACCCTGATCATTTGCATTGACTATTAATTCCCATTTTCAGACAATTGCAGTAATCTCTGTGGAATCACAAGGACTGGTACAATTTGGATCCACCCAGAAGGTGAGCACATTGAAAGCAGACCAAGTGAATTTAACTATCATACAAAAAATATACTTGGGGCCGGGTTGGGGGGTTATACCATTTATTAATAATATACTATTTCTGCATCCTTTGACTGATGAGAAAGCAAATATCCATGACCTAGCACATATCAAGCGTGGATGATCGGTTGTTGATTTCAATGCTTTTAATATTGCAGATTTTGGAGTCAGAGGAATTTTTGGGTCAAACAAAACGATTGTTTGGTAAGATGGAAAATATTAATGGGCTTACTTCAAATTCCGACTCGCCTTCATCTTTGAACTGTGAAAGTTATGATCTAAATGAATGGTTTGATTCCTTCTGCAATGGGAATATCACACCCATGCTTGGTGACAACTGCAATGAGCTGATGGAAATAGCTTATTCTTCAATGAATTTTACTCAGCCCTCCGCTATCACAACTGTTGTTGAACAAGATAGGATGATTCCTTTATGCCTGGATTCATCTCATCCTACAAACCAAATGAAGACCAGTGAAGCTCATTCCAGTAATCCTAAGACTCAGTCCCAATACTCGTCGCCACAATCTCCATCTATGAACAAAACAAAGGCCCTAACTCCTTGCACTAGTACGTGGAGCAATACAGGCTCTAATTTGACTTCATTGGAGTCAAAGTTGGGATATGAAATGGTGGTCCAGGATTCTCCAACCGTGTTTTCTACTGAAAGATCAATGAGCAATCTGCATTCTGCTCCATTAATTCGTGTTACTGAAGGTGAACTTTCAGAAAGAGAAATGAGCCAGAACAGATTCCCGTTGGAGCTCAAATCAGATGATTTTACAACTGATCTGTCCAACTCCTGTGTAATAGATAATATTCTTGAGTGGTTTGCCCCTTCACCGGAGCATAGCATAAGTGGAATGGCACCCATGATGAACGGAAATCTTTCACAACCTGGAGGAGTCACTCCAGCATCACCAGGTCTGATTGGAGATTTCTTAGTTGATATTCCATTGAAGCAACCGGCCACTTTGGCTCAAAGTTCTGTCACTGAAACATATTTCTCTAACGGGAAAGAGAAATGTGTGAGCATCACTGGCACCGAAAATGATCTGCTTGAAGGTTTGGGATTGGTATTTGGGGGTGGACAAGCTAGGCATTGCTGGGAAGATATCATGGTGCCAGTAGCGAGTAGTGGGCACACAACTGCTAGCACTGGTATTTCAGAATGCATCTCAGAGTTGGATGTTGATTCCAAGGTTGGCCCTCGAAAAGGATTGTTCTCAGAGCTTTTAGATAGCGTTAGTAATTCTAATTATGTTACAAAATCTAGCAGTGATGATCAATTATCCAATGCTAAGAGAAGAAGAGTGGAAAATTCATCAGTCAATGGTAATCAACTTCAGTTAGTGAATGCTTCTTGCCCTACTAGCAGCAGGGTGATGCAGCCTGCATATAATTTTGACAAGACAAAAAATCTTCTATCAAAACAAGAGATGTTCCCAAAAGCACCAACAGTTTTGTGGATTGATGATAGTTACAGCGTCAATACTGGAAGTTCTGGTTTAACAAAATCTAAGAAAACTGAGGAGCCTGCAAAGGCCACCAAGAAAAGAGCCAGACCTGGAGAAAGTACTCGACCTAGGCCGAAAGACCGTCAGCAGATACAAGACCGTATTAAAGAGTTGAAACAGATCATCCCTGATGGTGCTAAGGTATGCCATCTTTTGTTTTGCTTTGAATGAAATAATCCTATATATTTGTTAAATTATTAGATATCTCACATGACTTCCTGCCATATCACCATAAATGCTCTTGGTTATATCGTCACATAAAAATATAGATCATTGACGAATGCTTTCTTGATGATGTAACAGTGTAGCATTGATGCTCTGTCACACTTAAAAATATAGATCATTGACAAATGCTTTCTTGATGATGTAACAGTGTAGCATTGATGCTCTGTTGGATCGCACCATCAAACACATGTTATTCTTGCAAAGTGTGACCAAATATGCGGAAAAGCTTAAACAAGCTGATGAGCCAAAGGTAGTTTGTTTGTTTAATATTATTGTGTGCTGACAAGTGAACAACCCTTCCATTTGTTTACTGATACAAATAAAATTGCATTTGTATAGTTGATTGGCCAACATAATAGACTGCTTCCTAAAGACAACAGCACAAGCAGTGGTGGTGCTACATGGGCATTGGAAGTTGCAGATCAATCAATGGTTTGCCCTATCATTGTCGAGGACCTCAGTCAACCTGGCCTAATGCTTATAGAGGTGTGTGAGTGGAAGAGAATATTTCTCCGAGAATTTGTCATCTGTATATGAATGCACTGAATTTATTTTCTTGTTTTTCTATTACAGATGCTTTGTGAGGATCGGGGATTCTTTCTTGAGATAGCAGATGTAATTAAGGGCTTTGGTTTGAATATATTGAAGGGGTTGATGGAAAGTCGAGAGGATAAGATCTGGGCACGTTTCATTGTTGAGGTAGCACATCAAAATTTAGATTTTAAAGTGTGGAATTAGTTTAACATTAGAAAATTAAGGAAACTGATGGTGAAATTGTTACAGGCAAACATGCAGATAACAAGGGTGGAAGTATTTTGGTCACTTCTCCAGCTTCTAGAACGAACAGGTTCTAGCGTGATGGATTCAACGAATCAACCTAGTAATGCAATGCATGGAAAGATTCCCGAGTTAAACAGTTACCAGCTTCCTTCATTGCCATGTCCTGTCAGCCTGACTGAGACAATTCAATGATAAATCTCTTTCATAGGGATTTTAGAACACTTTGAGCATACATCTATTGAGATACCGCAGTGATTGGTGTTCTGAGTTCAAGAACCAAGACCGAAGTGGGAAAAGGAGATTCTCCATTCCATTTTGACTTCCCTTGGAAATGGAAGCAAAATGTGAATATGGTTGATAGATAGGAAATACTTCGAAAGGTAGGGCGAGCTATCTAGTTACTCCTTTATGGTACAATTGGAGAGGGATGCGCCGTTGGATGTTAGCTTGCTTTTAGTCGTCGATTAATGCTACGTTGCATATGACTGAGAGTGTAGCTGTGTAGGGAACTGCGTTGTGTTTTTGTTTTCATAGACTTTTTGTAGGGAACTGAGAGTGTAGCTTGCTTTTGTTTTTGTTCATAGTCTCAAGTTGACAAATCAGTTTAGTCATAGGCTAACCACTTATTTGTTCTTTGTATCTGTTGCTGTCTCATTAGTATAATGAAAGAATTTGCTCTCTCTCTCTCGCCCCCGCCATGGAATGAGACTGCATGGAAATATTATTTAGGAGTGGCCGTGATTGTTTGTATTTAAAGTGGTTTTTATTTAAAAATATATTAAAATAATATATTTTTTATTTTTTAAAATTATTTCTGATATTAGTGCATTAAAATAATCTAAAAATATCAAAAAAATATTAATTTGATTTTTTTTAAAAAATATTAATTTGAAAAAAAAAAATTATTATTTTTAATTATTTTTAAATACAAAAATAAATAGGATGAAAGTAAGACAGAATATTCATTAACTAGAAGTCTCATAAACATCTCGAGGATTTTTATTTGCTTAATCAAATTCTGAACTACTGTGTAACAGCTATTAGTGTGATAACTATAGGCCACAATCACTGCTAGAAATTTTATACCTAGCAAGCAAACTGGATTTGAGCGCCAACAATCTTCCTGGATGACTTTAACCTGTTGCAGGCAAAGAAAGTTGCTGTAAAACCCATTTAACCTGTACCTGTGATCGCTTTTTAGGCTGATGATATCTGTGTAAATGGTCTCTATCCCTCACAGAATTTGATGGGGACACCGGGTTCAATATATGATTTATGCATGAATATTCATTGATGGACGATGAATAACTTAACCCGGTGTTTTTTGGTTGAGAAATTGAGCTTATTCAAGCTTAAATTTTTAAATTTTATTTATCTTTATTATTCAATTTTAGTTTATGTTATTTTATTTTATTTTTATTAGTTAGTGAGTTTAAGCCTAAATTTAATTCTAATTAAGGTTTGATTATTTATAAATATGATTATCGTTTATGTTACTCTAAATATGATGACTTTAATGAGAGAGTCTTTAGCCCTGATAAAGTAGAAACCCTCATTTTTTATGGTTATCATGATCCTTAGATTTTTGATATAAAGGTTCGTGACATAGATCAATTCTTTAAGTGACACAACTTGTTTGAAAATAAAATAGTTAGATTTGCTAAGACGATACTCATTGATGAAACCTAACTTTTTCATTAGAAAAATGTTAAGGATTAATTAAAGATGAGAGGTAAATCTCTCATAACTTATTGAACTAAAATGAAAAGAAAAGAAATGAGAAAAGTACCTTCCCCAATCTTACAGGAATAAACTCTTTGACTAATAGAATAATCTAATATAAGGGAATAAGTCTATCAATGAGTATATAACGCATTTCACTGATTATATGATGAAATGTGCCATATGAAAAAATAAAAGTTATAACTTTATGTAGATTTTGTAAAGTTTTGAGTCAGACTTATATATGTTTTCACTTTTAACCAAGTGTAAACCATAATGCAAGATTATGAGTTGCTTATAAAAAGTCAATAAATAAAACACCAAGTCCCCTATAGTTACCCTTTTAGATCTTAATTTAGGAATGTTAGTTCTTTATTAGGTGCTTCATTATATAGACCTAATCCTAATAATGTCTAAATTTATAACAAAAATAAGAGAAAAAGAGTTGTTAATGAAATGTTTATGTTAAGTTTAGAGGTTCAGTGTGCTAAATATCAAGGTTTTGGTCATATCTTCTTTAACTACACCTCTAAATCCTTAGTCTCCTAAGAACATAAGGATATAATTGAAAAAAATTACTATTATGTGCAAGTATATGAACATAATCCCGAGAACTTTAATAACCTAGATGAAAAAGGATATTGTGAAAGAAGGGAGACTTAACACTATAAGTCCAAATGAGTTTGAAAATGAGGTTAATAAAGAATATAATAATTTTACTTTAGTGGTAGAGGAAGAAGTTTTAGAAAACTTTTTACTGGAATTGTTTGAAGAGATAAATATAGTATTAAAAGAATCTCATGATATTAGTTCTCTTAAACTACTTAATTCTTCACTCACCATGCTTGACCTTAATTCTCCACTCACCATGCTTGATGTCCAGCACATTAAAGGTTTATAGCAACATGCTCCTCACTCGCTCATTCTTGACATCTAGCATGTCATAGGCTTAGAATGATATGTTGAACTTCTTGATCCCTCACCCCTAACACGTGATGAGGAAGATGAAGATAATTCTAATTTACTAGGTTATTTCAAAACTATATGTATACTAAGGCTTGAAATAATATTTGTTTCACTCCACACCCTCAGTCATATAGTGTTCATATTTATGAATCTAAAAAGCTTGTTGATCTTCTTTTTATGTCTTTTCACTTTAAAATGTCTGATTTAGCTGAGTTTTTTTTTCCTGCATGTAGAGTTCATAATTTGTATGTTGAGATCATTAAAAAAATTAAAACAAGTAATGAATAATATAAATTTTGAGCTGAGTTACATAAGTATTATAATGCACTTAATATTGGAGATCATTTCATGATATAGCTTAGACCTGAACGGTGTTATATGGAAACTAATCATAAATTACAAGTGAGTACTATTTGACTGCTCAAAGTGTTGCAAATAATTGAATCAAACAATTATATCATTAAACTACCATTAAACTTTGATATTAGCTCTACTTTTGACATGAAAGATCTTGATATATATAAAACACAACCTATCCCTTATGCACATTTTGATATCTCCACCCCATTATCCCTATCATTGGCACAAAAGAAATAAAATAATGTTATTTTAAATGCACAAGTTATTTTTACTAGAAATGATGAAGTTCAGTGAATGCCAGTATATGAGCTAGAAGACAAAATTCAAATTGTACTTCAATTACTAGAAAGACATTATAATGGCTTGATCATGATCTTTTAGAGTATTATTGGAGCTTCCTTGAATTATAGTTGAACATCATTATTATTTTTTGGTTGGGAGATTGGACTAATATGATGTTTAATTTATATTGTTCAAAATTCCAACACTATTAATGATAGTAATATCATAACTTGACATGCTAGATTAAGATGCATTGGGCAAGATTGATTATATAGATTAGCAAGATCTGGTTTTTTAAGATCACTTACTAAAGAGGAATTGCCCGTTTGTGAGCATTGCCTTACTGGAAAAACTAAATTACCATTTGGCAAAGTTAAAAGAGTCAGTAGTCCATTACAACTTATTCATTTAGACATTTGTGGCCCAATAAATAAATGAATGTGAGAGCAAGACATGGAGAAAATTATTTCATCATATTTATAAATGATCTTACATAATTTAGTCATGTTTATTTGATCTCATATAAGTCTGAAGCATTGGATTGCTTCATTCGATACCCAATTTAGTGGAGAATAAATTAAGTACTAAGATTAAAGCTTTAAAAACTGATCGAGGATGTGAATATTTGTCTGAAAAATTTAAAAAAAATTATGATAAAAAGGGCATAACTAGACAATTAACTGTTCCTTATACTCCACAATAAAATGGTGTAGCAGAAAGGAGAAATAAAACCCAATTTGACATGGTTAGGTCGATGATGACGTAAACTAACTTACCAATTTCCTTTTGGAGAGATACATTATTAATTGCTGCTTACATACTTAATTGTATGCCCTCTAAATCTGTTTCATCCACCCCATATGAACTATGAAATAACGTCAAACCTAATCTAAGCTATTTCCATTCATGAGGGTGTATAACTTATATTCACAATACTTTTTATGAATGTGGGAAACTTGGTCCTAGGAGGAAGAAGTGTATCTTTATATGATATTCTGAACATTCTAAAAGATTTGTATTTATTGGTGAAAAAGCTAATGGAAAAGTGACAAAGACTGAATCACGTGATGTTCTATTCTTAGAAAAGTTTTTTCCAAAGACATGTCAGGTTGAAAAAGATTTTTAATTATATGAAATAAAAAATCTAGATTATAACACAACAAGCCATTCAGCAGAGGACTTAGATGACACTTTTGATCCTCATAGAAATAGTGGGAGTGATATTTTATCTATTTCTACTCTCATGGAGCAAGATCATGAGCAATCTTAACCTTAAAGAAGTATTTATGAACTAATTCCTCATCGTCAATTTGAGATTGTGGGGGAAGCGTTCATGATTGCTCCATAAGATGATAAAGAACCTAAAATATTCAGTCATGCTCTATCCAGTCTTAAAGTAAGAAAATGGATTAAAGCATGGAGCAAGATCATGAGCAATCTTAACCTTAGAGACGTATTTATGAACTAATTCCCCGTCATCAATTTGAGATTGTGGGGGAAGTGTTCATGATTGCTCCATAAGATGATAAAGAGCCTAAAACATTCAGTCATGCTCTATCTGGTCTTAAAGTAAGAAAATGAATTAAAGTTATGGAAGAAGAAATAAAGTCGATGAAAATTAATCAAGTCTAGAACTTGGTTGATTTACCGTTAGAACAAAGATCTATTGAAAATAAATGGACTCTTAAAATTAAACGTAAGGCAGATAAGTCAATAGAACGTTATAAGGCTCGACTAGTAGCGAAAGGCTCAATAAGAGAGAATTGATTATGAAGATACTTTCTCACTAGTTGTGAGGATTATTGTTCTATTGAAAATAAATGGATTTTTAAAATTAAACATAAGACAGATAAGTCAATAAAACGTTATAAGGCTCAGCTAGTAGCGAAAGGCTACACTCAATAAGAGGGAATTGATTATGAATATACTTTCTCACTAGTTGTGAGGATTATTGTAGTTCACCTCATTTTAGCTATAGTCGCACATATGGACTTAAAGTTATACCAAATGGATGTTAGAACTGTGTTTCTCAATGGAGAACTAAATGAGAAGATCTATATGGATCAACCTTTAGGATTCGAGACTAAAGAACAAGAGTGTAAAGTTTGCAAGCTTAAAAGATCTATACATGGTCTTAAACAAACCTCTAGACAATGGAACGTCAAGTTTCATCAAGCTATCTTTAAGGATAATTTTACAATGATGGATGAAGATCATTGTGTGTATTTAA